GCAAATCTCTTAACCTTTCTCTGCTTTATTTTCTTCATCTGTAAAAGGGGATAATAATAGCACTCCCAGGATTGTTGTTAGGACAAGATGAGATAACATTTGTAAATCTTAAAGTGCTGTATAAATGCTAGCTAGTATTTATTATTGAGAAAATTTTGTTTTTAAAAAAAGTAAATGCCTAAAAGAAACAAAGGATTTTAAGGGTTTTGGTTGAGGAGAGATTCCAAAAATGGGGCAAGAGTGGAAGACTGAATATTGAATTTGGATAACAGCCTAAGTTCGTTTAGATAGACAATAGAGTATGAGAAAGGGAATAATGTGCAATAAAGTTAGAAAATTAGACTAGAACCAGACTGAAGGGAGACCAAGTAATTGCTATGTGAGTTGGGTAGAACTGAAGAAAACCATACCATATTTTTAAAACTCTCATGAAATACACTAGCACATCCACTAACAGAGACAGAACAATCTATGTTATAGGTTAACCAACCATATCAAGCTTTTACTAATATAGCTATTACATTTTATGAGACATGATTTACTCAGATTATAAGCCATGAAATCATAAACAAGCTATGTTATGAGACTTCTACTGTTCCTACTATAATATAGTAAAAATTTAAAATGGCCTGCCATTCAAGATCTGATAGTGCTTCTCAGATGGCCTGCCATTCAAGCAGAGCCCTTGGGGTGGGCCTGGTCAGTCCATCACCAGGATCATGATGCTTCCAAAGAAGCACAACCTAGACTTGGGGTGATCATCAGTTGTGTTAGCCTTGGCCTCTGACCCTTTCCAGATCTATGTTTTAAAATTATTTCACTCTTTCTTTTTTTCTTTTTGTTGGAGGCAATCAAGATTAGGTGACTTGCCCAAGATTACACAGCCAGTAAGTGTCTGAAGCTGGATTTGAACTCAGGTGCTCCTGACTCCATAGAATTGTTTCACTCTTTATAATTATATCCTCAGCACCTATCACAGTGTCTGACTACCTATATCAGGTACTTTTTGACTGAATGATTGATTTAAGCACTCATCCTTTAGATACCTGTCACCAGGGGAAGGTTTTTGTCTAAGATGACCTAGATTTATCTCCTCTTTCTCACATGATTCTCTTGAAATAACTGCTTTTACTAAAACTGAACTGAGCTACTTGTTAACAAATGCCCTGAAGTCCAACAGTTTTTTAGTTATTCTTAACAAATGCCCTCAAGTCTAATGATTTTCTGGTTGTTCTTGGAGTTTTTGTAGCATCTCTGCTATTTGGGTTAAATCTGGATGGCTATGAATACTTCTTTCCAGTAATGACCTACGGCAGTGTCCTTCTTCACTTGAAAAGTTCTTTGTGCTACACTATAATCATATTTTATGACAACCTTTTAATCCTTTTGCCCCCTGCCAGTAGGTCTTCTGCTTTACAAATTAGCACAGCAAAATAGCAACCCTGTAGCCAGAAAGGTTAAGTTAGGAAGTGTGGCACTATCAAAGATGGGAACAGCACCGATTAAAACTTAAACAAATGTAATTTGAAATCTGCTTGCTATATATTGTCTTACATAACCCCTGCCCCAAAAGCCCATTAGTACAGGGCTCTCTCCTTTTTGGTGGGGATGAATGCTTGCTCTGTGTAAGGGGTGGGGCAAAGTTGGTGAGAGGCGAGAGATCTCTAAACTTCACCAGTCCCTTTTAGAACTCACCAAACTTCAAACTGAATTGCTTCAGACACTTCTGGCTTCTAGCTTTAAGAGAGAAGATAGAAGAGGCCAACCCTACTTCAGGTTACTGAGGGAAAAGACTGGGAAGATATGACAGGAACCAGCAGTCTCCATCACATCTCTGTTCCCACCTTGCTACACTATGGATTGTGATGAGTTTCCTCTTGGGTGAGATCCAAGAGTCTCTCTCATGATTGAGCTGAGTTATCTTGCTCCTAATGGGAAAGCTCCTTCACTCTGTATTATCTGGTATATATTCTCCTATATATACTTTCTCTGATTTCTGTTTTGCTATGATTTGGTTAAATGGGTTTCTTTGCTATTTCCTATGTGCATTCACGGTGGAACTGGCATTGGTGGGAAAGGGGTCAAGTTTTGGGTATAGAGTTGGGGATCCTCCTTTCCCCACAAAATGACAAAGTGATAAGAAGTTAGCTTCAACCCAATCATATCCCCTAGACTGACAATATTTAAGGGAACAGATAGATATACTTCTAACCTGATACTCAATCTTTCTGAGGAGAGATGACTCCAACCTCCTGCTTCCCCTCCTGGCAGGAATGAAAAATCTCCCTTGGAGAAGGACGGAGGGAGAAGAAGCAAGAGATGCTTATTCTGCTTCCCTTAGACCCACCCAGTGACAGGCCTCACAACACATGGGCCTCTCTGAGCATGGAGGGCCCATTTCTTCACTACACTGATATAAATCTCTGTAAGTATTCTTTAAAAATCAAAAGGAAAGATTTAAAGCAGGAGCTTTAGTTCCTAAACAATTTCTGACTTTTAATACGAGCTGATGAATGAACCGGTGACACCTCTTAGACTTGAGGTCAAGAAATGCATTACTACTACGAAGATCAGCTGTTCTCTAGGGACCAGAGTGATGCTCTCTTCATCAGCAGTTGGGAATAACAATCAAATAGCATTCATCATTCTGGGATTTTTATGTAACAACTGAGAAAACTCTTTCAAGTATTTATGAAAGTCTAATAAAAAGAGCTGAATGGCTAAAATGCAGTAATCTCTTTGTATCTCTTGGGCAATGGTTGATAGCGCTAAGGCCCTTAATTAAAAAGCCTGCTTATTCTGAGAAAAAGTCCATGTAATAACAGGACTAATGATCATGATGTTTGTGATAATAATATCAACAATAATAACAACATATTTATGTGACACTTTATGCTTATGAATCACCCTACAATATATTACAGTAACAGTTCACATTTCTATCACTTTATGGTAACATAACATTTTACATGCATTATAATAAGGGGAAGGGAGGGAAGCTCATAAATTTTTACAAAGAGCCTACTATGTGCTAGGCACTGTGCTAAGTACTTTTTTACAATTATTATCTCATTTAATCTTCACAACAACCCTTTGAGGTAGATGCTATTATTATCCCCATTTTACAGAGGAAGAAATAGAGGCAAACAGAGGTCAAGTGACTTGGCCAGGGGGCTGAACTCAGGACTTCCTGCTTCCAGCTCTAGTGTTCCATTTACTGTACCATCAGTTGTATCATGATAATAGCTTATATTTTTGGTAGTGTTTCTATAGGACTTCCGATTCCCATATGGGAAGCCTGGGGGGCACAGGAGAACCCTTCTCATCAGGAATAGTCATGGGACTACATCCCCCTCAAGACTATGTTTGGACTTTGCAAAATGGCAACACTATCCCAGTCCAGATTCTGATTGCCTAGGCGCACTTCAGATTTTCAAGAGACTAGAATAATCTCCAGGGAATTAGACATGGATTATAGTCCAGGTGACAGAGCTGGAGAGGGAAGACAGGAAAGAAATGATGGACAGAGCCTGGTCCTGAAGTCCTGTTCATTCAGTTGTCATGATGGGAAGCAACAACACTCTCAAAAACACTCCCTGCCTCCTGGGCATTCTAATACCCCCCTATTTGTACCCTTAGCTTGCAGTGCCCTGCTGAGAACACCAGCATGATGCTGCTGCCATGGACACTCCCCAACATCTTGTCAAGAGCAACTGGATGTATGATGCTCCTATTGTTCTGTGAAGATGGCAGGATAATAAGCCTCAGATGGCTAAGTAGGAGCAGAGACCAGTGCTCCCCAGGAGACATATGTGGGCAGGTGGTAGCTTTGGAAAATGGATTGTGAGAGAGCTCACTGCTTAATTTAATTCCTTGCTATTTGCCTCTCATCCTACTTTGAGAAAATGTCCTTTGCTTTACTGTTATGTCACATGATTTATTCTTGCTTAGTCAAGGGAGATTTCATGGAAATAGAGGCTCATGAGCTATGAATCAAATGGATTATTACCTCTTGATTATCATGGACTTGAAAGTAGCCAAAAGCAGGCACAATGGGAACTTGCAGGTATTATATGTTTATATATAATGACAAAATACTTTACCTATCTTGCAGGTTGTTGTGAGTAAAGTGCTTTGTTCTGAAACTATATATAAATGTGACCTAGATATATTATTATATTGCTCCTCACAACAAAGTAATTCACAAACTATCTACTATTTGCAGATGAGGAAAAAATGAGAGGTTAAGGAACCTACACGATGTTACAAAGCTAGTATAAGTACAGCAGAGACTTGAATCTATGATTTCTGACTCACCCAATTTTCTTTGGAAGAGAAGTCTATTTTGCATTAGAAGAATTGAGTTCATATCATGGCTCTGCCACTTACTATCTATATGACTTTAGGTAAACCCCTCTGGGTCTCAGTTTTCTCAACTGTAAAAGGGAGAGTTGAATTAGGTGGTACAGTGGATAGAGCAGGGAAAGGGGCCTGAGGGATGAAGTCAGGAAGACCTGAGTTCAAATATGGCCTCAGACACTAACTGTGTGACCCTGGACAAGTCACTTAACCCTGTTTGCATCAGTTTCCTTCTCTATAAAATGAACTGGAGAAGAAAATGACAAACCACTCCAGTATCTTTGCCCAGAAAACCCCAAATGGGGTCATGAAGAGTCAGACATGACTGAAAAATGACTGAACAACAACCTTGAAGGTCCCTCTAGATCTCTGAATATGATCCTATGATCCTTTTGATAGATAAAGAATAACCAAAAAACACAGTAAACATGATTCTTTTCCATCATATTGATGCAAGAATCTACCATTGGGGGAAAAAAACATTAATTTATCATGAGATGATCCAAAGATCATTCATCTTTGAATAAGGAAATCCTATAATCATTGTTCTTTTCCAATCAAGATAATTATCAATGATCTTCTCACTATGTGAAGTGTAATAATGTAGTCCTGTAAGTCCCAAGAGAGGTGTGTGGACTTACCTTTTCATCGTCGTCAGTGAAGGGAACACCCTCGGGAGTTTTGTTTATTGCTTGTGCTACACCAATGATCTCCCCATCACTGTTTCTGATTGGCATACACAACAATGACTTTGTCTTGTATCCAGTCAGCTTGTCAATTTCATCATTGAATCTTCGGTCCTAAACAGAAGAGAGATGCAATATTAATCACCTGTGCTTCATTGCAAGAGGATAGAAAGGAGTTAGGGAGCAGTCTTTCTTTATGGGTTGTGTGATCAATGAAAACCTTTTCCAATAATCTTTTTCCATATTTAATAGGTTTGATTTGATGCTTTGTTCAACTTAGAAATATGTTATAATAAATCATTGCAAACAGCTCTACATCCTAGTAGATGTCCTAAAAGATTTTAAGATTAACTAACAGTGTATAAAGGTGGGGACAAGGGGAGCAGTGATACAGTAATATATTATTTATTATTCTACTTTCACAAAAATGACTCTCTTCAGCATTTAATTTCAAAATGGAGAAGACACATCTCAAAATACCATTAGAATTATCAAATTAGGTCAAGCTTTTGTGATAAATAGGTGGGAGTTATTAGCTGGGCAGTTAGGTGGCACAGTAGATATTCAGGAAGACTCCTCTTTCCAAGTTCAAATCTGGCCTCAGATACTTACTAGCTGTGTGACTCTGGGCAAGTCATTTAACCTTGTTGCCTCAATTCCTCATTTATAAAATGAGCTGGAGAGGGAAATGGCAAACCACTCCAGTATCTTTGCCAAGAAAACCCCAAATGGGGTCACAAAGAGTTACACATGACCGAAAAATGACTGAACCAAAACAAAATAGATGACTACATTTCTGTGATGGGGAGTGCTGGTAATGGGGAACAACAAAGAAGAACTCTGTCTTTGGACTTCAGATTCCTCATCTCTAAGATACGGGGATCAGACAAAATGACTTCTAAAGTTACTTCCAGTTCTAAACCAATGATCTTATGATCCTAGATCTGTTTAAAGTGATTTTAATTCTGCTCCCCAGATTTCTGTACCACCACAAATCATTCCACAGCTTCTTCATTGACTTTAAATGAGTGGCAGGAAAGTTTTTTGTTTTGTTTTGTTTTTGCACCCGAGGTGGGAGGTGAGCGGGGGGACAGAATGTAGCTGACCATGACCAAAAATGATACTGCTTGGACTAATCCTTGACTATAAGGACAATGTCATTATAAAATCCAGCTCCTTCAGTCCATGTTGTTCTCATGTTCTTCGTGGCCTTCCCCTAGATTTTGATCCTCAAAGGATATCAATGTTTCCAATGCTAGCACCAGTCCCTTTTGAGGACTGTGATGGAGACAGAAAAATAAAGAGGTTGTTTGTGATACTTAAACAGGAAAAACTAGAAATAAAGTGAATTTCTACCTATTGGGAAATGGCTGAACAAATTGTGTTGTAATCATGTAATTGTGTAATGCCTCATAAAGGAATGACAAATACGATAAATACAAAGAATCTTGGGAAGACCTGTTTGAACTGATAGAAAATGAAGAAAGAAGAATCTGAATATATATGTATAGATGTATAATATATATACATATACACACATACATGTGTATGTATGTATATACATATATATGTATATGTGTGTGTGTGTGTGTGTGTATATATATATATATGATGACTAGAATAATGTAAAGGAAAATAAGACTAAAAGACATTAGAATCAATCCATATGATGCCTAATCTTGGTTGCATAGGGTTAAGACAAAACATATTTTCCTCTTCTTAATAGGGAGGCAGTGGGCTACAGTCACAAAATGTAAACTAGAAAGTGTTCTATGGGGTGAATGCTATTGGAAAATAAAAACGTGGGGAGAGCGGGAAGAGTCAATATGTTTTTACATGACAGTTCCAGTTTTCTATTTACCGCCTGGGATCATTAGCCTCCTTGAATACATGTATTTTCCAACAGCATTCTGCTACCTCTTCCCCCACTCTCATAACTCAAAAACTTAGCCCTCTTCATCCCCACCAATTCCTTAGTCTCCTCCACAATCTTTTCCCTATATGTACTCTGGAACCTATCACTAACAAATTCCTTCATTCTAAAATTCTTCCTCTCACACTTTCTATTTTCTTGAGTTCACAGAAAATTGACATTCTCTAAAAGACCTTTTACCACCCTCTCCCTGAATGATTACTCTTTCATTCATAGTCTACCCCTTACCACGAGGCCAAGAAAGTCAGCATACTCTGTCCCATACCCTGCTGCTTCCAAAAATGTGTCATTCTCACTCAGTCACCACTCCTTCTTTGAGGTTCACCGTATCTACCTATATCAAGCCCAGATCCTTTTCGCTGTCATCTGTAGCCTCCAAGTAACTCTCTTTCTCAAGAAGTTCCATGCCTGGCTAATGATTTTCATCTCTACCCTAACTCCTGTCCTCCTTCTTAGAAACTTTAATATTCACAATATTTACATCCCTTCAAACATATTTGTCTTCCAAACTTCAACTCCCGTGATCTATATCTCTATGCTACCTTATCCACTCATTGGATTGTCACACCTTAGACCATACCAGCACCAAAAACTGTTCCAACTCCATTTTGGAGTATGAAATTCCCTTCTGTGCTCAAAATTTCCTATCCTTCCATTTCGCTTTCTGCCCTACTCCTCTTAAATCTATTCTTCATCTTTAGGAAGGACCTCTAGTCTTTTCATTTCTCTATGTTGTCACAGCATATTACCCCTGTTCCAGTTTCACTTTTCCTGCCTTCACAGTTTGACCCTATTGTGAACCTATACAGACATAACTTTCCTGTACCCTTGAATCACATATCTTCCCTTATCCCCTACCCCTGCCCTTCTACCTAGTCATACCCTTTGAACCCAGCTCTGATTTATCCCATCTGCCTTCTCTGCTCCTACTTCCAAACTGTTGAATATTTTTTAGAGGAAATCATACACCCATACCAACTGGTTTCATTACAAATCCATGAATCTTTTTTTTTACTGGGCGTTCCCTGCTGCATGACAATCCTTTTATTCTTCCCTGATTGACTCCCTGGCATGCTCTGTATGCCTGCAGTGACTGTTTCAAACCTTTCCTTTTTCCTTGAAACCCAGATGCCAGCCCCACTCCTCTGTTTTTCAGTAGATGGCCTCACTTCCTGCTTTACTGAGGAAATTAAGACCATCCATTATGAGCTTTCTAATTTCCCTTACTTTATGCCTCCCTATCGCGCTGCCTCTTTACCCATGCTCTCCTGCCCCACTCTAGCCTCTAAACAAAAGGTGACCTTCCTATTGCCAAGAATAATCTTCTATGTATGCCCTTGATATCATCCCCCAACATCTTCTCTAGGAACTTGCCCCATTGATCATCCCCCTCTCCAATTCACTCATCTTTAAAGGCACAATTTAATTTCCCTTTAAGAGATACAAAAAAAAAAACAAGTTGCTTATTTTCATTTCAGCAAACACTAAATGGAAAATTATCAGGCCATTTGCTATACTTCATGGTTTATTCCCCCAGAGCCTTGAGTTTATAATAAGTTAAAGAACCCTCATGAGTGTACCAAGGAAACTAAACAAGTTTAAACTAGTCCTGAGGGGTCCAGTATGTCCCAACCTCAACCCTGGAAATGTAGAGAATCCACAACAAAGAAAAGAAAACTCTATGTTTTTGATGGGCTTCTTCCTCCACCAGCCCAACCCAGAAAAGACTAGAGCTCCCATTGTAGACCTTTCTTGATCACCATTATTAGTCAAACATTCAAGAGTGGCTATAGCCAAAATCCTTGGTTCAACCCAATATAGCTCAATATACATGCACTAGTCTAAGGAACATTCCTGCCTATCAAACCAGTTTAACATACGTGGATACAGACTCAAACTAAGGCATGTACAAGAACAGTATACAACCTCTCAAACTATAATAATAATTCCTTACATGTATATAGCACTCTAGAATTTTACAATGTGCTTTCACATACATTATTTCATTTGATACAACATATTGTATAGAAAAACCAGGTATTATTATCCCTATTTTGAACTAGATCTCAGAGAGATTGTGTCTTTCCTGTGGTCATATCACTAGGAAGCATCAATAGCACTAGAACTCAGACTTTCTGGACTCTTAGTGCTGTGCTTTTTTCAATATCACTGTTACAGACGTCCCACCCCACTGCCCTCCCAAGTGAATTTATGCTTTAGAGGAAAAAAATTCACACAATAAAACAGAATAAGCCAGTGAAAATATATAATCAATAGTTATCCAGTTCAAAACTTGAGAAGCAATAGTTATTATCGTTCTGCAGTTGTTCTTAAATTTATGAGATTTCAAAAGTTTCTGTTTCCCTACTTTATCATTTCACTTATAGCTTGACTCTCACACAATGTAGTAAATAGTCCATCAGGAAAGAGGGAAGAAAATAAATGGATGACAGAAATCCTCACTTTCCCAACATGTTAGTCCCTAAACTTAGATACAAGCTTACAATGAAAAGATTAAAAAAAAAAAAAACAAGCCATGCCCCAAACAGATATGCTGTCACTTGCAAGAGACAAAGGAAGTTGGAAAACCATTCTTTAAAATATAGTAAACACAAAAAGAGGACAAAGAGAAATAATGCTCTTTTGTCAAATGAAGGAGGATAGCTTAATAACAGATGACATCAAAATGGCATGGGCTGTCAGTGTTGCTTTCTTTATCTCAGACTTATCTGAACATCAGAGCAGGCAACACAATATGAGAGATCAAGAAAACAGGCTGAGACAGACAACAAAGTGGTCAGAGACTGTTCAAAGAAGCTGCACCTGTTTTATTCTGATGACTCTGATGCTGAAGGACTGGATGAGGTAACCAAAGCCATCCCGGAGTTACCATCCAATCTCAGAATTCAGAGAGAACTAATAAACACGAAAAATGTGGAGGGGAATTATTAGCCCTGAAGAGGGGAAGGCTGAGAGTAACTATGAATATCCTCAAATAGATAATGAAGTACAATATGAAAGGCAATGATCTTCCTGAAAGACAGAACAAGAAGAAATGACCAAAAGGAGAGATTTATATTCAACAAGTCAACAAACATTTACTAATCAATCAATAGGTATCAAATGAGCACCTAATATGTGCCAGGCACTGTACCAGATGTTGGGGATTAAAAAAAAAATT